TGTGCTTTGATCAGTGCATGTCTTTTTAGAAAGCAAAGCGAAATTATGTTCCGTACATATTTCCTGTCACTGATTTTATTGGGATTGAGCAAGTTTTCAGAAAAGCCCGAAGTTGAAGAAGATGACGAGAACACTAACGAAGTTGTATTTATTACTGGAATGGTGGTACCTTACGTTGAGTACGAGCTCACGGGCTGGGTATTGGCGCAGGTAATTTGCGAGAACGGTATTTCTAACAGTATTATATATTCAGAATCTTTTTCTCTAGTGTTGATCAGCTTGTTTTTTCTCAAATATGCCCCTTGTTGAACAAATGTGCTTTTCCTTTAAACTTATGTCATAAGATCATGGAGTAGGACTTTTTCATGGAGTTACCCAAGGTTTACCGGCTAAGATAATGAATTTATAAATGGGGTTGATTACCGTATGAGCTTAGCCACAACGTAATATTTTCTTTGTTATAGGTATTGTACTGGATCAGCGTACTTCACCTCACAACATCGTTTGCATTGCTCGTTTCCTTCTATCAGCTCAAGGTGAGTGCAGAAATCATTCAACGGCTAACACAAACGATCACTCCTAAGACAATTAGAAGCTACCCGAACGGATATTCTCTTACCAGCGAAAAGGGGCTGCAATGGAATCATTAACCCAGTTGAGGAAATGCTCGAATTTCCGAAAATTTTGAGCATATCAGCAATGTTTCGGTAATGACATAACATTGCCTACTGCCTTAGAACCAATCCTTTTTCTGACATCATATGTTTCGTTGAAACTTCAAGAGCTCTGCAGTAGTGTACATATGCTTCCAATGCCAATCCAATGCCGTCGCAGGGTAGAGCACTTTAGCAGTCCTTTCGTGGTTCAACTACCGTTGAGCACAGCAAGACTCCATAGGTGCACGCGTCAAAATGGAAGCGAAAACAAATCCATCTAATGGTCTTAATTTTTAAGGGCCAAACGTTGCTTAGTAGCCCGCTTGACGAGGTACGTACGAAGGAATGGGGAATCAGTCCGTCGGAAATCCGTCCTATAGGTGTATACTTAGTCTCACAGTGGGCGAATTATGGACAAAACTTCGGCCTCGAACGAACGGAACCCTAACCCACATGTACTTATGCTATCCGGGCACCGTGCTCCTATCCCTTGCATTACCGAGACCCCGTAAGTGCAGGGTGTTATTTTTTGCTGCAATCTCGGAGTATTTCACGGAGAATAGAACCAGATTGCGTTCCTAGACGCTTATATCTACTCCTTGCACCGTTCTGAAGGGCCAACACGCCATCATTGCGGTATAGGTGATAAGTAGCTCAATCTCACCTACTAATCCATTTTTTCCCGACTCACTCAGGTGAACTCCGATTGACGAAGCTGTGCGAGCCTTCTGTATCCTTGGAATTGTATGCCTTAGTAATCATTATTTGCGCTTAGCTGTTGTAACCAGGCCATTACATAGTTATGAGAGGAACGTGCAATTTTCGACTTGCTATTCACAGGGCCTAACTCCTAGAAGAATATTTTTTAAAACTATCAGTCTTATTTTTAGATCCCACTCATCACTTTTAAACGTGAAAAGGAAGTTGCGCGACGTCTGATGTTTGATGGGTGCTGGATCACTGAAGAGGACAATGAAGAGAGCGGTGTGATCGATACCCTTCTTTGGTTCGTCGTTATTATCTCCGAATTAAGCTCGCACATGCAACTGAGTTGCATAAAGCTCTCTTCGGTGTCTTTGAGTTAGTGTGAAAGATCAGACAGCAAATGTTGGTTGAACAAACCTGCTGCCTCTTCTGCGAACTCAGTTTTCCGCTCTAATACTGTACCTGAATATTGGTTTTAAAGGTACCTGGATCGCATTGTGATCAGTTCGAAATCATTCCCAATGATGTACTGGGATAAATTCGTCAGGCGGAAGACTCGTCAAAAGTTCAAAGATCAGGTGAGGCTTTCTCAATGGTAAATATCCCATTTTAGCAGAAGTGAGTGGACTGGGTGCTTGTGGAAAGCCAGAAACAAATCAGGGAAAAGAAAGTTAGTTCACTTATGCGGTCAGACATTCTTTAGCTAAACTGGGACGGGGTAATAATCGTGATGCCGCGGTTTTGGTCGCTTAGGTGATGGGATTCTATGGAATGATCTATATGTCTTTGGGTTTTCCGACAAGAAAGGTCTTAGAGTACTATACATAGCCTAGAGGCGACCTTGAAAAGCCCTGAGCAAAGGGGATACTAAAAAAGTTACGGGGACAGCAGAGTGGATGGTCGAAGGGAAAGTGGTGAAGCAGTAGGAGGTGCAGGCATTTGAATGGTGTAGAACACAAGCAAGGGAGAAGTGAAAAGTGAGTACAGTCCAATTTTCGATTTGAATTTCGGTAAGGATCCTTAGTGGGGTCCACACTCGCTTCAGTAGGTAACACTGGCTTGATACAGTCTTCATTCCATTGGGATAGGCCACTGCGTCGGTCAAAATCGGTCACTCCTCGAGCAATTGCCTGTTGATGATTTCAGCAGTATAAAGTTCTACCAGAGTGCAGCTCGATGTTTATTTTTAGTTGATAGGGATGTGTTCCTACAAACTTTCTGCTTTTCAGGTTGATGAAGAAATTCTCACATCGATTCTAGGGGAAGAGAAAAGCTCAAGCGATAACAGCTTTGACTACCGGTAAGTTTGCATTTACCACTGTAATAATTAGGTACCCTCTTCAGTTGAAGAGTGGGAGTGATGGTGTAGGATAAGCACTGGTGGTGGAGAAAGCGAGAAAATCGACAGACTGCAGAACGTAAAGCAGTAGTAGTGACAATAAGGGCTTGTAGGAGATTGGTGGACGGAAATGCTAAGAGACGGTTGTTTGGACGAGATTTAATCGTGTACAATTGCGTAAAGAGCTGGCTGTAAAGGATCGTAATTGCCAAAAATTGTATCTCATGTCATCAAGGGTCACGACTATTTTGAATTTTTAACATATGTGCTCCATTGCAGTATCAACAACGCCGTTGAAGCAAGTCTGCCCTCTGGTAAAGACGTTAACAAAGAAGATATCTAAGCCTATACGGCGCCATATCTGCGTCGTTTTTGACCCCGAGGAATCCCATCTGACTCACGGCTAATTTTCGTCATATCTAGAAATTTCTTCAATCATTTTTATCATGAATTTTATAACGTGACGGTATCTCCTTTCCAACTGTTCCCTTGCCCCCAATTAAAACCTAAGCTCCTTGGGTGTGGACAGTCATTCATTGCTGATTAGTTGATAAGCAGTGAGCCTCCAAGCTCCTGTGAGTCGGTAGTTTCCAGGGTTTTGATAACAACACCTTCAATAACAAGGGCCATAGGCTAAATTTTGGGTGTTTTTAACCTCTTCTCTTCTCCTCCTCCCTAATGCCCATTCGTGTGCCCAGCGTCTTTTTTGATCGGAAATCATGATTCTTTCTAAGCGTAATGAATTGGCTCAATTTTCAATGGTGATGGTAAAACCTTCGAGAATCATACCGTGCCCTCAAGACTCATACAGCTCTTCAGAACCTGGTGTTGAGCTGTCCTGTATGATTGCTCATTTGCACTCAAATAAGACCCTCAAAAAATCTTCGTTATACCTGGACAAAATCAGCAATCTCTACTGCTCAGGACGAGCTAAGATCATGTCAAGATTTTTTAGGCTGATTACCCTATATATAGATGTATTTATATAGGATTGAGAATAAACTTATACACGTTTCAGTTACACCTGTTGGCTTTGGGTCGGAGTGATTCTCACGAATGGCCAGTTCCTCTATCGTGTCGGCTATCTACTATGCTCAGCTTGTGGAGTGTTTATTTCGCCCTTCTTCTACGCATTCCATCTGATCGACGTTGTACTCTCTTTCCCCATGTTAAAAGCAATTCTTCAATCTGTCACTCATAATTTACAACAGGTCAAATTCTTATCAATTTTTCCTACTCCATCGCCACAGTTTCTCAAAATCTTCTAATATAGTATATTGGCAGTAAGCGAGCAATTAGCCAGAATTCGATCAAATTTGGATGGGAATGTCCTCTGAGATCTTGTGAATTCCATGATGTAGTACTAGCCCTAGAGTCAAATTGACTGATACCTGTAAGAGTATATAGGTTGACATTATGTTATCACAAATGGTATACATATAAGGAGTAACTGAGAATCCACCTACGCCTTATGCCTAATTGTTATAATGGCCTGTACCGTACACCCTTACGGTTCCTGATATCAGAAGAAGGCTTCCAATGTCATACCCCTTTCTCATTCCAGCCACTCCTATTTTTTTTTTGTAATTATTTATTTCCTCAGAACAAGTTGAACAAAGGAGACCGTAGGAGCTATGTGATACTGTGGTCCAGTTTGTAAATTTTTACTAATTTTTTGAAATGCACCAACCATAAGAGCATGTAATTCGTTAGAAAAGTAGTTAATGCGGATTTCTCTTCAGTTGATTCTCACCATCATGATGACGTTGGTAGTTGTGTATCTGTACACTGTGATTGCATTCAACTTCTTCCGAAAGTTCTATGTTCAAGAAGGTGAAGACGGAGAGGAACCGGATCGAAAATGCCATAACATGCTTACGGTAAAGTGTCATTTTGCATTTTTTCATTTTTACTGTCATTGAGATCGACAAACATAGGCATGAACGGTCATGAAGGATTTGCCTTTCTTTTTTTCCGTAGGAAACCTCATAAACAAGTTTGTATCTGAGGTTTCTAACTTTGCGAAGCCATGAGCTTCAGAAAATCATCTTGGAACTCCCTAGATCTGTCGGTTCCTAAACAAGAGGGTCTTTCGACTACCTGTTCAATAAGTTACGCTTTCTAGTGCTTCATCTACCACTTCTATGCCGGTGTCCGAGCTGGTGGTGGTATTGGAGACGAATTGGAATCACCATATGGTGACGAGCTTGAATATCCACGAATGTTTTACGACATATCATTCTTCTTCTTCGTCATCGTCATTCTTCTTGCAATCATGCAAGGTATCGCAATGGTTTCTGTTTTACTTATTCTATTCTGACCCTTAGATTAAATTGAAGTCTGGTCAGCAGCGAAAGGGGGAGGGTTGTCCAGCACGAGCACCTAGTAAGGAAGGCGGGCTACCTTTTGAAGGGGGACGTTCGGCATACATTAGTTTCGTTTAGTAGAATTCGAGGGAGCAGTTTTCATGCTCGGCTTGATGACCCATTTTCACCTTACTTTTTCCTCTGAACAAGTTTCAATAGTAGAAATCAGCCAACGGAATTTCTCTGCGGCCTATGCGCTGAGTTTGTTATTCGAATACTTCTCCCTCCTGTTTATCTGGTTCGCAAAAGCTTTGTTGATGAAAGTTGATGTGATGCGTTATTTTTATAGGTTTGATCATCGACGCTTTCGGTGAGCTTCGAGACCAACAGGAATCGGCAACGGAGAAGCTTGAATCGTCTTGTTTCATTTGCGACATTGGCAAGGAGACTTTCGATCGAATGCCAAGAGGCTTCGAAATTCATACTACCAAGGAACATAACTTCGCCAACTACTTGTGAGCTCAACAGTCTTGATTATCCCTGGAAAAGCCTTAAGTATCAGTTAATCTCATGTGAACGTTTATCTCATGATCTGAAACATTAGCCAGTTTTTTGTTTAATACTTTTACGCTCTAATATTCTTGGGAGCAAGCTTAAGGTGGGGGCTTTTTGTCTAAAATTTTGTATAGGATCAAACTGAGCATAAGCAATAGTGCTATTCAATATTATTTAGAGCCCTGCAGAGGTAGTTTTTTGAAAACAGCATTTGAACTCGATACTCTTTCACTTCTCCGTTCACCACATGTAGCCTAACACCAAACACCTCGTTGCATTGACCACGGCTGGCACACAGGCTCACAAGCCACTTCCGAATCTACTATGGAATTTTAAATTCATTTATTCAGATTCTTCTTGCAACACTTAGTCAATAAAGACGACACCGAATACACAGGTCAAGAAACGTATGTACGAGAAAAGTACGACAATAGGTGAGTAGGTTTGTATGTGGCCTCCACTTCCCCGTACGAGGCAACTTATAAGGCAACTTTTCCGAGCCGTTTATCCTATTGCTTAAAGCTCAAAAGTAGACCTGATTCGTGCTGTAGTGCTTCTCGGTGCACCTGGAAATGGTAACATACCATTTTATCTATAGCATATCCTCTTTCTCGGTAACAAGCAAGCCTCCAACTAGCATCCAACTGGCAGCATTGAAAGCTCGATAACCTTGATTAATACCTAGCCAACCAAGCTCTCCTGCTTAGTTGTAAATGCGAATTAGCTTGAAGGCCGACAGTAACTTGAAGCTTGAAGGCTTGAAGGTCTAATCAAGATGATATGTGGTGGTGGCGCGGACGGGTGTCCGACATGGAAATCTCATCGCGTCGACGACGTCGCCTAGAAAATCGGAGCCTACTGGCAAAGCGGCTGCGAGGCCTGCTCTGGATAAACGTCTCCCGAGCCTAACTCCACTGATGATCATTGCAACGGAGACGTTAATGTCAATGGTTCAGTTTTTTGTCCCAGCACGCAGCGTCGCTTTTTCGGCACCTGCATAACTTACTGTTCCCTGCAAGTTGCTGGAGCGTATTAGAATAGCTGGGTTCGCTATATGATTCATACTCAATCGAAGTGGTTTTGCAGCAAATCTCTTGTGAGTTAGGCAGCACGATGACTAGCTGACTTTGTTAATTGCTATTTTTCGTCCCACTTTGCCCAAGTAAATACCCCTCAAGGATGGGAGGTACGGTAAAGTGTAAGCAAGCCAAATTCGAGATATAAACAGCGAATTCCTATTGTGAATGATATTAGGGACTCTTTGTATTTCACCAAAATACGTAAGTCCATATTGATTATGGTTTATTTCAGAGACTGGGACTTCTTCCCAGTTGGAGAGTGCTTCGTGAAACAGTATGAAGATCAACTGTTGCAGTCGTAAGCATCCAGTGAAAACAAAAGTAGACTAGTTAGGATTGAGTTCTCACTAGTGTATAGGAATCATAATCTTTCATTCTAGTCCGGTAATTTATACGAGAAACTATTGTTATCATATTATTCGTATGTGTATCTAATTCCTTTGCGTGGAATCGTACTAGTCTAACACAGCCGAGTTAATCACTATCGGTATAATTCCTTATTTGCTCAACCCTTCGCTCAATCATACTTGTGCTCTTCCCAAAGAATGAACGAACAAAGCTTTAAGTATAACTACCACGGCGTGCCTTTACTTATATTTTCGTGGGTGGTAATAAAATATTTCGAATATATTGTTGAATATCGATAGAAAGGTCCTGTTCCTTCATTTGATATCAAATTTTATCAATGTTCACAAGCACATACACACAATGACACACAACAACAACAACAACAAACACAAGATCAAATGTATCCGCTATCCGGGGGTGGGTACTTCTCCCCGAAAATCGCGTCGTGCTTACCTCAGCCGATCGAGTGCTTTGAAGTGAGTGGTTTGGATTCCCAGTGGAAGGGTAGTCGCCGTCGAACCGCTGCTANCCATTCCAATGGCACTAGTTCCCAGCAACGTTCAGATAGTTTGAAGATGTCGTCAATCTTCGAAGCAGATGCGTGGGAGACAAAGTATGAGCTCAATTTGATTTCGACTTGAGCGCGAGTCTTGAAGCTTTTCCGTCTAAGCAACTGCAAATCTGACTAATCAATAATGGAGAGGAGCGAGGAGTGAAGGTTTCTTTTTGGGGAACTCAATCTGTAACCCGTCCACTTCGATCCACTCCTGAACTCGAGAAACACCTCTTTCAAACAAGAGGATTCATCGCTTACCAATCGTCTTCGACCGGACTGAGCTCTGACGCCGGTCCCTCACATCCATTGCAGAACCGACAACAGTCAAGCTGAATTTCGCATTGGGTCAAGAACCAATTCTTGCACCCATCTTAAAAATCTTATACTTTTATCAAATTCTCGATATACTGATACGTCGTAGTCACTGTGTGCATAAACTGATGAGTTTCATCCCGGAATGTAGCATGCACCAAGATTTCGAGCCCACACTTGCATGGAATATTGGAAAACAGATGGCAGGCCGAAAATTCAACGACAGAGGTATTTCACACAATCTGATTTATCAGTGAATATGGCGTACTCCTAATCCATGGAAATCCTTCCAAGGCGAAGGATTATCCTTCATGACGGTGCTCAGCACTTCAGGATATTCCACCGAATTAGCAGAAGAAATTTTACTGAACGCCTCATAGAAAGCCATCCAAGGTTCCTTGATCAAATACCTGTGAAACTTTGAAGCTGCACATAACGAGCTATTTTTGGTGGGGGTTGAACCTTTACTCAGCAGTGAACCTCACCTTACCTTTACGCATCGATATGCGGACCTGTTAAAGCTATGTAGACGTACATATATATGGTGAACCTAGAGATTCTGCCTAATATATCGCCCAGTAGATTATGATGTGCTTGAGACAAACTACACTCCTATTAAATGGAACCGCCTATCAAAGCCAGTGCACTGGCTACTACTCGTCCAGCAACTTTATCTCTTTTTTAAAGGAAATACAAAGTGTCAAGAAGTTAAGAATCAAGAACTGGTAGCGAGTGTTCGTCGAAAAATGCAGGAAATTCATCATAAAGCTTAGCCGACAATCGTCAGTTGAACTTCAGAACATGAACAGGTAAGTAAGAAATTATCCTTATGACTTCTTAATTATGCCGCTCTA